TTTATATTGTGTGACTGCCTTGTCTTAAGTCTCTAAGTTGCCGTTGTTACCATTGGGCTAAGTGGATTTTGTAACAATGCCTCTTGTTTGTTCTTGACGACAGAGGTGTGCAAATTATGCAAAGAACTGCATAAATTACGTCGGTGATGTCCTGAAAGAGCGCGTCCGTCATATGGTAGCCATGTCTATCTTTTGTTATGGAAGTTGTGTAGGTTTGCGTCGAATACTCGATATACGGTGAGAAAACAAGGAAGGTGAGACTGAATCGAAGAAGTGTTTAGTTTGATTGTTTAAAATGACGCAAACTGGGGATTCACTACGTAAAGAACAACTGAAGGAATTTCAACGAAATGCGCATCGCTTACTATCGGACGATGATCGTACTTATTTACATTATACGCTCAAAGAATACCAGACTTATAAGTCAGTGGAAAAGTTGATGCTTGCATTAAAATCGTGCTTGGATAATCCTCGAAAGCTGGACCTTCTTGCTGACATTCGTAACCTCATTCCGTCAGCGCATTTGAGCAAGTTCGATAGTTTGGCTCCGTACAGCGAAATGGCGCATCCTTTCAAACCACCAAGTCAAGTATCCACGAATCGGAAGACTCAAAGTTTACCTCACAGTTACAAGAACAGTGAGCTGCGAACTCTTGCAAGGAGCTCTTCACCGATTAATGCTGGTTCTTTTAGAGTTATAACCTTAACAAGAACTTCACCAGACGAATCTTTGGGCTTCAAAATAAGAGGGGGTCGTGAGAGTGATAGTGCGGTTTGCATTTCTGAAGTGGATGAGAACTCATCTGCCGCCAAACAGGGGCTCATGGTTGGAGATCAGTTAATTGAAGTTAATGGAATAGATTTCGAAAAAATAACCCAAAGCTCAGCGGAGAACTTACTGGGAACGATGAATAAACTGAAATTGGTTGTCAAGTCGGTGAGCGCTGTACAAGAAATGGATGTCTCTGACTCTTGGTAGGTATCGTAAATCAAAAATTAATTTTAACCGATTGTTTGAGTGATTGATATTGTCGCAGTACTTTAACCTTGTGTTTATCCCACTCAGTTAGTCCCTCTCTACGTTTTGAAACAGATCATGAAGGTATATTAAGCTATAAATAATTGCGATGCTGGAAAAAGAAGTAGCAGTGATGCAGTGAACATGCACGCGTGCTGGTGTTTTGTTGTTTATCGGCTCGTGACAGGCACTTAACGTTTCAATTGTTAATACGGTTTGGGGGTTGAAATGTTACGTGAAAAAGTTGGAAACTTTTCATGTTGGAAACCTTCCATGTTGGAGAAAGCAAGTACAACCATGGTGTCGTATCGGCTAGAATATGGCTTTATCAAATAAATATCGCAACTGTTTAATTTGCCTGCACTTGACATATAGTATTGGAATATTGTTGTGGCAAACTTTCTCTCGGAATATGTACTTTGTTCTTATATTGAGGCATATCGGCATTTATGAATTTTGAAGTCGAAATGCACGGGTTTTGGGTTATGGTTGGTTGCATTTGCTTGAATTTTGTGGCATCTTGAATTAAAAATGTTTCTTTTGTTTTGTGTATGACCTGACGCTAGCGTTCGAGACCTTTGATGTCAATAGCTGTGGAAATGAAATGAAAACTCTTTCTGCTCAAAAGACGATTTAGATTACTTTCGATGCTAAAGATTACTCCAATAATCAGTTAATGAATCGTAAAACAACTTTGTACATCTTGTGATTATCAATTGTAGCTACTTATTGGAACGTAATGTTGCGTGCCTCTCGAGTCTACACTTGAATGCTTGTCGGAAATAACGTGTAGAAAATAATCCATGCTTTTCAAATGTGTAACTGCTCGGTTTTAGTCTGTTTTATGGTTACCGGTTGTACAGTGTGTATTGTTGCTTGTCTCCTTTGGATGAACAACGAGGGTAAACAGCTATACACCTGTGACGGCCCTGAAACAAATTAACAGCAAATTATATGAGATCATGACAGCTATCATGACAAGAACAATTGACATTCACTTTGAACTGATGACATTGAGAAGGCAGAAGAACAGGTGGAGTTTATACAAACAGATGCCATTGCAGGTTGCCATGGTTACACTATGATTGCATTCTTAAATTTGGGCATTGGACACACTAGTATTATATTTTGAAACCTGTGGTTTTTGTGTTCGTTTTCTCCCAGTTGAGTCAAACCTATCAAATATAATAATTTATGCAGTGATGAAAGGATGTTTTGTTACGATCTCTGTTCAAATAATGGCTTTTAGGTGTGAATTACTATTGCCCAAAGTTATGCAAGTTATGACAAGTCTGGCACATGTAGTCGAAAGAAAGTGCATCCTTATTGCACATCCAATCCACATGCCACATCATATTCGTGCATGCTAATTTAATTGAAGTGAATATAACAAATAAGTCATTATTAACCAGAGTAAAAGTTTGAAATATAAATATATATATGTTGGAAGATTTTAGTGCAAACATCTTTAGACATCATCTGTCATTTCATAAATAAAAGTTTGAAAATAAGTTGAAGCCTGTTTTTAGTACAGTCTATTTCAAAAGTATGGTATTCTTAAATCCTCATGACAGGACTTTATATTGCCAAAATATAATAAAACTGCATTTTCTCAGTATCTTCATGAAATTTATGTCATCAACCTGAAAGCACTGTGGACATTTACACTGCAAATAGAATTTGCATCACAGAGCACATAGGCATTGTTTGCAGGGTCAGTTTCACATTTCCCAGTGTTCTTTGATCACAGTTTTTAAAGTAGCAAAACTCCTACTTGTTTTTTTCTGTATTGTTCAGTTCCAGAAAATATCCATTCTCCCCCACAGTAGGGATTGGAATTTCCTGGAGGTGGGGTAATTCTGTAAGACCAAAAAAACACGAAAGAAATGTATGAAGCTCAATATTGGAATTTCCAGGGAGATGGGGGGTCTTACACAAAATCCCTTCCACGGGGGAGGTATGGACATTTTCTGGAACTACACATTATTGATTACTCTTAGCTATCTATTCTTATGTGAGTGCATTTCTGGAAAGTGAAAAAGGAAGTCACTCTTCATTACATCAAACAAACAACAACCTGATCGAAAGTAGTATTGTTTGTGGTGTTATTGTTGACACTGGCAGTTGATTTGCTTTATGTTTTTGTGACAAGAGCATTTTGTTAATAACTTGTAAGAAGAAGTGAATATTCTTTGAATTAAAGGGGACCTTTAGTATATAAATTTGACACCATGGGTGCTTAAGATCTCACCTGCATACTACACACATAAGTGCAGTACTTGTTTTCAGCTTGTAAAGTTTGCGTCTTTATGTATACTCTAGACTGCAAAACAGTTGTTTTTGGACGTTTTCGGAAGGCGCAAAGCGCCGTAAGTGCGATCCTTGCGTATGAAGCGCGTGAGACTCACACGCCCATAGGGCGTGTGAGGCGAGAAAACAACTGTTGGCTTTTCATACAATGAATTCGTTCTAAGCGGGAGTTGTATAATGTCACTGGAGTGACAGAAATTGCTTGACAGCTCCACCCACATCTTACAGTGGTTTTCAACCACATGCGACCTTCAGCGCAAAAGTGTCCAGACAAAACCTAAGTTTTGGGGCACGTCTCATTGCTGACTGTGTGTAAAATTTACCTGAAAAAGTGAAACCTTGCAGCGGTCCACTTGTAAAAATTATCATTTTTGGTATGAGCAGCTAGCTCACTAAATACATTGGCATTAAATGTTCCTTGAAATCTAT